AAAAAAAAAAAAAAAGCTTACTAAACTGAATTAGTTCAAAAACAGAGCTAGTGAATATCTTACCTGAACAAAAAATAAACTATAGAACACATAGCTAATAGAAAAATTAACTCAGTCATCATCTAATAGCCTAGATCTCAAATTTCAAATCCACGCTATTTCTTAGATTCTTTTGCCAATACTATAAATGTATCTCAATACAGTTAAATCAGTTAGCATGAATCTGACAGCTGAAGCTTTTTTAGAACACTCAATGAACTGGAGAGAAAAGTTATATCCACATACAATATGTCTCACATACCAAAAGATTCATCTTTTTTATCAAGGCGAAGGTGAGCTCTAACCTGTCCCGGTTCACAACCATCACAGGTATCACTGCCTGGGTGAATGTGAAAAGATAACACAGTCTCTCCTATTTTTACTTCATCTCCATGCTCAAGTACATAAGGGTCACATTTAGTTTTTGGCTAAAGAGGAAAAAAATACAAAACAGAAATCCAAGAGTTATATACTGCCACTGTAAATAATTATTATTTTTAAAAAATACGTAAAATGGTTCTTGATAAGACACACATAGGAACATACATATATTCATTTCTACATTCTGATGGATAATTCATAATGCTCTCTTAGTGGAGAAGCAGCTAGTGGAGCTAAGCAACTTCTAAACTTTTATATTATCAAAGTGCATAATCTTTCTATGCCCAGGCCCAACTTTTATCATGGAACACATGACACTAACTTCTTAACAGCTAATATTAAAATAATCATAGTAAAAAAAAAAATCATCGTAAAAAGATGAAGTGTTGAGAATTGGTGAGTACATCACATTTCTCCTTTCCCATCTTTTCTCTTGATACTTCAATTTTATTTCACTGTTTTATTCTCACAACCTAAGAATAAAGCCTCCTTTCCATATACTGCAACTGAAGAGCCAAAGGGACAGACATAGTCCCTGCCTTCAAGGAGATTCCAGTTTGGCAAATTTCCACTAAAATAACTTTGAAAACACAAAAGTTGCTATGAAGTTTTGTTCTGGTTAGTTTTAAACTGCATTAGCTCTCAAAATAAGGTACAGACACATAATTTGAAGTCAAACTCAACAGCAAAGTTCCACTGAAATGAGGATTTCCAGCCCTTGGAATTGTCTTCCAAATAACACATCTGGGCTTCAACAACAACACTGATGTAAACCAAAAGATCAATATAGTAACTGTGGTCTTTATGAACAAAAATTATCGCTTAGCTTCTTAAAATAATGTGCAATTAAGTTGTATACACACACATACACACACACACATACACACTCACCTGAAGAATTTGTTTTCCATTAACAATGGTACCATTTTGACTACCTTGATCCACAAGGACATAACTTTGTAGGTCATGGTCAAAATAAATTTCTGCATGAAACTAAAAAAAA